TTTTGTACGTCAATAGCTGCTCGATCAACCTCAACACGTAGGGGATGACAAGGAAAAGGGGAAGAGAAGAATAAATCTTGACACATACACCCCTGAGCATGCCACTATATACTAGGTTGGGACAATAGGCATGAAGTGGTAAAACATCATGATCATCATCATCATTATTAAAACACAAGATATTATTATAATTTATAAATGATTGTTAAGTCCATCTGTGTTTCTATATAAGATTAACTATCGCGCAAACATAATTCATAATGTCACATTCAAACAAGTGTGACGGAAGTTTCCCCAAATGGGAAGTGGGGGAATTAAAAGGTTTTGAGAGGCGAGCAGGAAAAGTTGATAGCTAACCAATTGGCAGATAAAAAAATTGGCTTGCCTACATACTGGTTGATAACTTTTGGCACCAAATTACCAGTTTCTAAAAGCGCAATGCATTAAAACACTTTCTAAACATGAAGCCTGGGTAGCTCGACGTCCTAATAAAGAGCGTGCGACTGATAAGAAGAGGGGTGCTTTACAGCTGGATGATAGTTCATCTTCGGTTCACTTGGTGCTTCATGATAATGGTTGTCGTCAGGTGATGCCTTGTGATATTTTTCAATGTCGCCTTGGATGTATTTCTAGTTGCTTTGCCAACAACCGAGTTGATGGAAATGATGATCTAGCCAGAAGAGGGCATCCTCGTGTTGAGCTTTGTTCTTTGGGTATGTTGTTGTAGTCAGTGCACGGTGAGGAACTAAGGGTGTATCGTCTTGATGGTGTTATGATGTTGGTTGTGCCTCGTAGAAACGTGGTTGCTGTTAAGTGATGCCATGTGGTCTTTTTTTTGTGTCGTCATGCAAACATACGGTGTTACTTCACTAGAAACCAAGTGATGGGGATGAGGGGAGGGAAACCTCATGTGCTCCACTTGTAGATGATGGGTTTTATTTACCATTTGTTGCCACTTTCATTTGTTGTTAGAGCTTTTCTCAATCTTCGTAAACAATCTTTTAATACTTTGCATAAAGTTCACATAAAATGTAGAAGAGGGAACATGGAGTAAGCAAGGCAAACTACTTGTGCAAAGTATTGAGTTTTATGTGCTCGCTGTTTGTGGTCATGTTTTCCTTTTGGGTGTGTCGAGTATGTTTGCTCACATTTCTAATCAACCCCTCTCCTTAGAGCACGAGCAGAACACCATCCCAACCATGCCACTTTCATTTCAACATTCAGTATGAACCACGGGAGGGGCCCTCACTGTGCAACCCTTGTGACTAGAGAGGTTTTTTTTTGCCGTGTCAATCCAACTCTTAAAACGAAATCCTATAATTTTTTAGGTGAAGTTGAATTCAAATGTCAAATTTCATCTTCCAGTTCAAACCAACTACAACATTTCACTAGCTCATTTGAGTGAACAATGATTACTGGAGCGCAAAATGCTTACTACAGTGTGCAATGATTAGAATATACAACTATTCTACTTAATTAATCATAGTTACATTAAAAGAAAAGTCTTACTTTGAATTATTTAGGAAAAATTCACTAATCTATCCGGCATTTTCTTGCAAGTAGTATCTCTCTAACCTTCTGGTTTACCAATCCATATTGGTTTTGCCTGACTAGAAAAGAAATTATTTAGGACAATAAATAAGTTTCAAAAACAATCATAATACAGTTATTATACTTCAACTAGAACAACGCCCGTGCGTTGCAACGAGATATAAATATTCTATTATGTAGCTTGTATTTACCTATCAATAATAATGCGATCGTGTAAATAAATGTTCATCAAATTCTGACCATAAATTATGTTATATTTTGATTAGAAGTTTGGTAAGTAAATTAAAGTGGAACTGGTTTAGAAGGTAAGTAAATTAAGATGATTGATTATCATATACTCCCTCCGTTCCGAATTACTTGTCGCACGTATGGATGTATCTAGATGTATTTTAGTTTTAGATACATCCATTTCAGCGACGAGTAATTTGGAACGGAGGGAGTACATGGAAAGTTGGATGGAGGGGTGGTGGGAAGAAAGGTGAAATGAAAACCTTACATTCTTTTTAAGTATAGTTTATTTTTTAACAAGTTCTTTTTAAGTAGTAGTATAAGAGAAGAGAAGAGATACTTCAATTAATTAGGATTATCTCCAGTTTAAGAAGTAAAGGCCTTACGCTGAATTATTCATGATAATGTATAAATTTATCCTCAATCTCTCCAACCTCAATTGCTCTGACCAGCATTTTCAGGCGGATGGAAACAACCTGAAGGTTGCATCTTGTATAATAATTGTCCTCCTAGCACGGCAGCGGCAGCAAGTGTCATCATCCAATTCTTAATTCCGAGGATGTGACAAACCAACTAGAATAAGATTCGCCGGAAACCAGTTGGATTAGCATGAGATATAAGAAGCGTCTAACTAAAGCATTCCGGCATCACCCGTTCCTTTTCCTTCATTCTTTTTCCATGTCAAAGATTTCTTAGTATCAGTAGTATGTCATTTCGTACACCTCGTATTATGCATGGTTTCTTTACTTTCGCCTGTGTACAGCGGAAACAATGGGCCTCCTCGTATACATACTGTATAGTAGTACAGTACAGAGAGACGTACGTAGCTAGTTTGGATAACTCTACCTCTACAAGACCGTAATAAACGTGCGTGTGTACTTCCGGCAGTCGAACGCCCGGCTAGCGCGATGGAAGGTCGGGGCGTACGTGGACCGCGACCCGGTCCGACGGCGGTCGATGCGATGCATGCAGCATGGAGGCGTTGGCGGAGGGGTCGCTGTCGCGCGTGTCGGCCGGTGGGCTTTGCGTCTCGCCATCATTGCCCAGCAGGCGAGCGACCATGTATGCGTACGCTGGGCGACCGGTATTTTATTCCGGCGACATCCCAACCGTCCCTTCCCTTCATCGGAGCTGCCACGAGTTGCTTTTCCGCTTTAGCACAAACAAACGGACGACGTGGTCAGCGACGCGTCATGCAGCGTACGTGCTGTGCTGCAATTCGGTTCGGTTCAGTGGGACGCGTCGGGCGCAGGCAGCACCGTGCGTCCGCTTTCTCCGCGCGCGCGCGCGCGCTCGGGCGGCACGCATCTGCGACAGTGTGCGCGGCATCCGCACGGTGACGCCGACTGCTGTCCGCCCTCTGCCGCTAGGTGGGCGATCGATTCCATCACGTACGCGTCGCCCCTGGGCCGGCTAATCAATCGGCCTCGCGAGAGAGAAAAAAAGAAGGTGATTTGGATATATCATTCCTGTTCCATCGGTCAGTCGCCTAACAGCCCAGGGTTTTGTTGCTAAGTGTACTTATGTTCGACGCCAACACCTCACCGGCCGGCCATTCAGGTTTTGTCCCCGTTCAGTTGTCCGCGCGTTAGACCAAGCACTAAAACTGGTTGTTACGGCGTCCTAATCCAAACCCAACCCCATGCAAGATGCAACTGCCCATCGATCTCAATCTCTTCTCCACAGTTCTAAAGTACAAAGAAACACGAGCAACTCTGTCTTGCGTGGTCTGATGTAATGCGTTTTGTCTTTTCTTTTCTTTCAGTTTCAGGGATGGTCTGATGTATCCTTCATTCCTTCCATGCCAGCAGTTTTGACAGAGAATGGTCAGTTTGGCAGAGCGAAAGCATTTATTTAATTTTCTGCGAAAATGATCGACATCTATTTCAGAGTTCGCCGGAAGTACAAAGCATCTTTTTTTTCCGGCAAAAGTACAAAGCATCTCAAACATAAAATTACATCGAGATTCTAAGACCACCAAACAATCGCTACCGCTGCCACGACGAGCCGCCATCACCGCTCCTGTATCCGAGCCAGCTTGGCCTTGTCGATGCCAGTCGCGAGATCTCTGTGCATGTGCCCCTGAGGATCGGCACCCTGGAGCGGCAGTCGTCACCATTGAACCCTTGAATAGATCTGAAGCATCTGACATCAAATCTTGCCACATGACGAGTAACCCTAATCTCGCCGCCCCAAGGAGGTGACAGTAATCCACGCCGGAACTCTGTCGACTATGTCTAGATGAACGAACATGATCAAAGCCCGGAAGAAAAACTTGAAGAAGAAGCCCCACCATCCGCCCGAGCACTGCGCCTGCTGGGTACTCAAACTAAACTACTAACGGAGCGGCCGGCAGAGCCTAGAGGGGAGAGTTTGCTCTAGCTGCGAAGGAATAGGAGGGTAAATGCTTGGTGTGTAGTAGCAGCATCCTTTTTTCCACGCGTGAAAGTATTTATCTGAAGGTACGAGCGGTAAGAATATATATTGCCTCCTAATCCTCTCCCTTTTGATCCACAAAGGTGAGAGAGATGGTGACAACAGTAGAGCCAAAAGGGGTTATTATGACTAATGAACCCAGAAAGAAAATACTACTACTAATCATAGACTTTTAAGTTTTAACTACTAGTAGATGGATGGATATGTCACATGTGTAGCTAGCTGCAGGTGCTGTAGCAAATTTAAGGTTTTTAGATCAGCAACAGTGCATCTGTGCATGGCATGGCGTGTGCTGTTGCGCCGAGGAAGAGGAAGAGGAGACCAGGCGAGACGAACCCCAAGCGTAAATGAGATGCAGGGAGCCATTATTGGCAAACTGTTGCCGCCTGACGAAATATAATTATGCACTGTGCTAATAGCACACCCCGTTGTCCATATCAACACATGCATCAGACATAAAAGAGATAGGTGCCTAGTAATGAACCCAGTTGGTGCAACAAATATTTATGTCTCATGGGTTGCAATTGCAAGCATGGTAGAGTTATTTACACTCAAAGTGTAATCAGTCCTCCTGGGGAACAGAATGAGAAGAAACAACAGCTATTTAATCATTATTAATCTTCTGATCCAGCTTGATGCTATGTTGTGTGTGTACCTCTTGCTATCTTCACAGGGAAATTGTTCTGTTCTAGTACATTCTGCAAAATTTCCTGACAGAGGGTCAAGTGATTTTGCATTGTTTTCTTGCCGAGGAGCTTGCAGAGACCATCCAGATGATAAAGCTGCTAATTCAATTGCACACTCCATCCCATACTGTCCTCCACAAGGCCTTTCTGGATAGCTGTAAGTGCTGAGTACAGTTGCTGGGACACAGCTCCGACCTTCCCGCCCCCATACTCCACTCTGCAAACGAACGAGAGTTGATTGATTTCAATACAGGAATGGTAATCAATTGACGACATGGCTGGCAGATCCCACAAGTTTTTTCCAACATTGCGCCAACTGGCAATTGCAGATTTTGTATGAACGATCAATGAAAGAAGATAATAACCCTGCCTATCCTGGTACAATCATAGGCCTTGCAGAGCCAGGCCCCAACAATTCAGTGGAGCTGGTACAATCATAGAGCAAACATGAAATGCTGCTGCTGCTGCTGCTAGGCGCTTAACTCATAGTTAGAGATGCAATATGTCTGAATGCCTAATTTCGTAAGCTTATAAACCCTGCCTAGCCTGCCTAGATTTGGTAGTCTCATTGATCAAATACCCCCTCCATTCCATAATAAATGTCGTGCTCTTAGTTCAAATTTGAACTAAAACCGCGACACTTATTATGGAAAGGGGGGAGTATGTAAATGGGATACTAGTAGAAAAGTAACTACTTCAAGACTATGGTATTTACCTTCTTCCGTGGTACACTATGGAACCAACAGGTGATAGTACAACGGCAGTCCCTGTACAGAAGACTTCATCAGCATCAAGCAACTCATCTATCGCAATAAGGCGCTCTTCAACCTGAAAATAAAAAAGCTACCATGTTAAAGGAAAAGATCGTATTCACATCTCATATTGTTGCTACATAGATGGTCTGAGCAGAAGATGAACATCCCTGTTTGAGTTACCTGAATTCCAAGATTGCTGGCAATTTCGATTATACTTCTTCTTGTGATTCCAGGAAGGATTGTTCCCGTTAATAGTGGAGTAGAAATAACATTATCCTATCAGGAAAAAAAGCAATGATAACATTCCTATCAAAATATAGTAATATGAAAATAGTGCCAATACAACATGTACAGTTTGGAGCAGTCATGGAGTTAAGTAAATATCCTGGCTACTAGCATGCTAATCAGGTGATGATATTCTGCATCTGCACCTTGTTCAGTTATTTCGATAGACTACGCAAATGCTCCCAGACATCTTTGTCAGTGAAATCAACGGCATTAATACCCAAACTACTCTACACTGTTGTTTTCATAGATCCACTTGCAAACATAGCCAAATGGAACAAAGTCCAGTACACATACCTTCACCATGAATATATTACAGGAAGAAACTTCCTCCACAAACTTCTTATGCACGGGATCCAAGTAAAGAACATCAGAATGACCTTTCTCCTTGGCTCTTCTCTGAGCACTAACAACCTGCATACAGGGATCCAACAAAAGTGCAAAGCATCAGGAACAACATAACAATATGGTAATGTTCTTCCTGATCTTATCAAACCAGAGAGATCAAGATAAGCATTTATATACACCAAATATTTTGAGGAAAGCTACCACTATCCTATGCAAAATTAGAGCTTAAATGCACTTGGCAGCACAACAGTAGCATTCAAGTTGAGGGTAACTGCAAATATTGGAAGCCAAACTCATATTCAGAGAACCAGGGAGTAAAGATGTACACAAGGTAATCATGGATCAGATGAATAATATCACACTTATTACAGAGCAAGGTGTGTTACCGAAGCATAATTTCCAATTGTCTTGATATCACCAGTTCCACCAGGTGCAGCGCGGTGATATTCTTCCTCAGTCAGTAAGCTAATTGGTGACAGGCCATCCTGAAAGTAAATAAGACATTGAAATATTACTGTTGCAACCATAAAAATGGATATATGAAATAGAAATAAGCCAAATGCACCAACCTTGAAATAGTGACCAACTGGGCAAACATAGACGACAAATGTATACTCCGGGGCAGGTGCTACACCTAGCATAGCTCCACTTCCAATCAGCAGCGGCCTGATATATAAAGAACCTTTGCCAGTGGGGGGTACCTACAACCTCATGAAGCACATAACCCATGAGAAAGGAAGTATGCATCACATGTCACTGTTCAAGGAAAGATGTTCTTACCCAACGCTTGTTTGCCAATATAGTTTGCTTGACACCTGATAGGAACTGCTCAACGCTTGGTGCAGGCATGCATAGCCGATCTGCACCTATCCTCATCCGCAACGCGTTTTCCTCGGGGCGAAAAACAATTACCGAACCATCCTCCTTTCTGTGTGCTCTAAGACCTTCGAGCAATCCCTGCACGTTTTACAAGCATGTTTGAACATATCCAACAAATATGGAGCAAACGAAAACAGCCAACATATCTGAAATCAACAAGGCTATTATGTACACAGCACTGTTCACCAATCATGTAGTGATTCTTCAAGGCAGAGCAGGCAGATAAACAAACCTGGCCGTAATTTAAAACTGCAGCAGCAGGGTTCAGCTCGATTGGCCCATACGGAACCAATTCACCCTTGGTGAACACTCCATCTGACGAACATTTCATTATATACATAAAGTCCGTCGGGACCAGTTGAAATCCAAGAGTCTCCCAGTCGAAGTCGACTAGGTCCGGAGTTCCTGTGCTGGAACATGCAGCTCACATGAACAAACAATAATTCGGCAAAACAGGAAAACTGCCCATCATGGGACAGCCAGAATGCAGAAGGGAACCAAGCTTAGCAGATACTAAATGCAAATGCACACTGATACAGTGATAGTACTACACCAATTTGGTCTTGTTTATTTACCTCCTCGTAGCTAGTAAACCTTTTGACATGATCAATTGGATTGTAGCAATCTTTCTCTTCTTCGTTTAACTAAATAGTGGATTGTAACAATGTTTTCCTTCACCAGCTCATCAATTGTGCATAACTATGTTTTAATGTAGGACAATAGAAACACCGCAATGCCAATGAATCCCCATCCTTCATATACAACCTATAATTTTTTACTATGTTCTTGTTCTGCCAGTAACAGCAGGCGGGCCTAGTGGCTGGCGTAAACGAAAACGGAAGTGCAGCAGCGCGGAGCGCCGGGTCAAGTTGTCATACTTGTATGATGCCGCCATCAGGGCGGAACACAGGCTGCTCCTTGCCGCGGTGCCTCGCCTGGAGACGGAGACGGCGCTGCCGGACAATCGCTTCTGAATCTGCAGACAGCCACACTTTTTATTAGGTGTTTGATGGTTTTCCCCATAGTTGCAGGCAGTACGACTTAACCGATCGCCGTGCTGCGGTAGAAAGTCGCAGATGAAAACTCGTACGGGTTGTGAGGGCAGGCGCGGATACGGCCTGGGGCTGGGGGAGACCGACGTGCCGCGCGGAGAGGCGGAAGCGGGGGACGCCGGGGCGCGGAGGCGGAGTTCCATATTTGTATGACTCGCCGGGGCAGGGGATCAGCGGTGGGTGGGGGTAGGTTGGTTGACTACTCGGCACGGTGGGGGAGATCAGGA